GAAGGACTGATGTCTCTTTACAACTCTGCTAGAAATAATCACACTAATAATTTCCATCACTTATGTTTCCAAAGGCATGAAGAGTAGACACCCAGAAAATACCAAGCGAATCAGTGAGCCCCTTCTGGTTACATTTTTCACGTCCACTGATAGCTCTTTGTACAAAATCGTTAATAACGTGTTAATGCTTCAGTGTTGTCCGATTAGTAGAATTGATTGAATTTTTTTTAGATTAGTCGACTGTTGGGGGGGGGTAATTATTTGGACGGAGACGAGAATCCTACTTACCACTTACAAAATCAGCTTATTGCCACGATCTTAAGCTTGGAACTCCATGCAGAATCGTGTTGAATCTAGTCTTGAAAAGTAAGATTACATATATAATATATAAGATTACATAAAGAAAGATACAATATTATTAAAACATTTAAATCAAATTTTAATTGCGTCGTTTAATTGAGTTAAAAATTAATCAATTTAATATTATTTTATGGCGATTAATTAAAAAATTTTAATATATTTGACCAATAAAGAAATTTATAAAATTGTATGTTAAATTTACTAAATAACGTAAAATAAAAGCTGAAAGAACTTTGGAAGATTATTTCATAACCTAGGGTGAAATGACATGGGTGGATTATCAACATTACAGTCTGACAACAGTGACCCTAAGACAATGGAGTGCAATTACATGACAGGGACTTAATTGTCATTCTGTTTCATTGTGTATATCAGTAAATCTTTTATGTTGCCGGTATTCATATTCTCATGTAATTTAGTACTTGCTACCGATACATTGAAAGTTTTTTAAAATTCTCGTTACAAAAGTATGATTTGACTGTAATTGTTAATACAAACGTGCGGTTTTGTAATCGTTTCATATAATATTATATATATATATATATATATAATATATATATATATATATATATATATATATGGACATAATGGGTAAAAATTTTAAAATCAATTCTGAAAATACGTCTTCGTCTTTTTTTCGAGTTTCAAAAACCAAAATACTCCTAGATACATGATATTTATACCTACAAGACTCATTCTTGGCTATTGAAAGGATTCAGTACTGCGGACAATTTCATTTCAAAATCTGTGTTAAAAAGTTGTTTTCTATCGGCCAAAATACTTTTTATTGAGAAAAAGATAGGTTGGAATTTCAACGCAAATTCACGTTTAGGTGTGCCTTTTTTAACATTCGTCCGTCCGCCTGTGAACAACACTGGCGCCCAAACCAACGCCAAGGATATTCACCGTATTTGCTATTCTCGTATCGATCCATCCTGATGTCTCGAATTCGATCAGGGTATTATAATTTTTATATGTACTTTACTGAAACGTCCAATGAGATTTTTTCGTCTCAGAAATTGCTCAATTTATTTCTTTTATGTATTTTTCTTGATGCGCTAAAAGTACGCCTACAAAAATTTCACAAGTTACATTTTTTGTAAATCCTCTTAAATCTCGGTAACTGGAAACGTTTAATTTTCCTACCGCTCCAACAAGTACGTTTTTCAAGACAATATTTTTAATGTAGCGTGTTCTTCAAAAAATAGATCTTTAATATTTTTTTTCAAAATCACTAGTTTTCACGTAATTTTGAGTGAAATCTTGACAGTTAAAATACATAAACAATATTTTTTCAAAACGTCTTCAAATTTTCTCTTAATTTTTGTTTTCTTGGACAGAACAAGGTCCATTTAATGATAAGATGGGTTCGATTCTGTTTAAAACTTATAAACTTTCGATTATTTCAATAATTAAGTTAGTTTCAACTCTCATAAAACTGCAACATTAGACATATTCCTTTCGTTTCATCAGTTCATTTATAACAATTCGTCGATTTTAGAATTTCAAATCATTTCATCTACTGTAATTTTGAAGTAAGTTTTCCTGTAATTTTTAGTTCTATCGTTTGATTTTGTGATGACTGAAGTGTTAGAAGGATAAAATGTGCAATATTATAATACGAGGTAACTGTTATTAGTATTACGAGGAAGTATGTCCTATTGTTGTATCTAGTTTGTAATCAAAAGCATTCTTACATTTTTATCGCTTCACATTCTTATTAAGGCCAAGAAGAAATTTAAAGATTTTTTTTCGTATAAAATATTGGAGGATCTGAATTGTAAATAACCCCCATCTGAAATACGTTCTGGAAATGTGTGTTTCCTTTTAATATTCGAAGCGGTTGAACTTTAGCGAGTCTTTAGTTAAGTACGTGCCGTGTCTTTGGTGTAGTGCTTTGTGAATATTGAATTCGGGGAAGAGGAAACTCTTGACATTGCAAGAACATGTAGAAGTGTCAAGAGTGCAACGCAATTTGTGAATTTTTTTTAATAAGAAAGACCCAAGTGTGTACGATGTTTCAAGAGAAAGAGTCTATCAAGGACATATGGAAACTCTTCACTCTCCAAAGGCGAAAAGGGCTTCTATTGATGGGAACGAAAGCGTTAACGATCTTACATAGAAATGGTTCATTGCAACATGGGCAAAGAACGTGTCGATTTATAGCCCCGTTTTACAAACCAAAGCTATTGAAATCGCTCGTAAATTAGGCAAGAGTGATTTTAAGGTTTCAAACGAATGGTTGGAATCGTTCAAGAAGAGACATCAAGTATCTTTGCAAGACTATGCGGAGAAGCAAAGGACAGCGATCACAATGCAGGAGGTGAGTAGCTGAAAATAATTCCAAGGGTCGGTCGGGTTACAACAATATGGACATTTTAACTGCGACAAAACCGCGCTGTTTAAGAAAATGGTTCCCGCGAAAAATCTTACTGTAATAGGAAACGCGCGTGTCGGTGGAAAATTGAGTAAAGAACGCCTGACTCTATTACTTTGCTACAACGGAAAAGGACAATTTGAACGAGCTTTAGTCATTGGAAAGGCACCAAAACCACGTTGCTTCAAAAATTTGGATATCCGTGACCTTCCAGGACAATGGCAAGCTAACAAAGAAGCTATGTCAGTGGCTATTATGGAAGAATGGCTACGGGCATTTGATGCACAAATGGGAAACCAGAGCTGAAACGTGCTGAGAGCATTGCTGAGACCACCGTTTTTGAAGATATGTTAAATGAAAAAGACCTGAGGAAACAAACCGCAGAAGAATTTGTCAATTAGATGAATAAGTGCCAACGGAGATGAGATGAGCAGTTGAGTTCCGGAAGACAAAATCTACCGTCCGGGGAAGACGAAAGTTCGCAAAAGGAGGAAGAAGAAATAGTGACGAAATCAGAAAATCCCATCAAAATATATCGTGATGCACTTTCGTCAATTAAAACGCACCTATTGAATTAGAAATTAAATTATTAAGATTGGAAATCACTTTCTCCATTTCACTTGGCGATTAATGAAACACCGCACTGCCTGGCTGGAAATGGACTTCCTAGCCAGTAGGCAAGTGATATAATTTGCCATTAGCAGAACGCACATGCATCGAGTGTAGGCTAAGCGTGCGGTTAGGTCTGCGCTCATTCCGGGGCGTTTCCTCGCAATTCGGCGCGAATGTGCCTGCCCAGAGCGTGACGCGATGCAGGGAGGGAGGAAACCAGAATGAGTCCCCGGACTTACGAAACACTTCAACTAAAAATATTTCCAGAAACTGGAAGAATCGTTTAAAATGTATTAAGCTATTAATAAGGGCAAGCGTTGCTTATTTCGACAATCTCAAGGAACCGTGACTGCTTTTATCCGTATAGTTAGCCCCCCTTGTATGTCTCTTACATTTTGGCTTATATTGAAAAGATATCTTTGGTAAACGAGAGAGATCGTTTCATTGTACATGCTGTAAGGATTTATTTCTATATATAATGAAATGTAAAACATTTTGTAAACTTGTGCTAAATACCAAACGTGATTTAGAGGTGACTATGTTGTTGGTTCAGTTCTTTTATTTAGAGGTGTGCGTTAAAAAGTCTAGAGTTCACATCTCGAAATGCCGCCAATCCTCTGGGTTTTCATAATTTCAGTCATGAGCGTCACGGGGAAAGTGCGTGCGAGTTTGCGCATTGTTCTAAAGACCGTGAAAGTCCTGAAACGGCAGGGGCGAAAAACTGAAACGAAATGAAAAAGAAATTGCCTTAAACAAATTGTCGAGATGTCCAACTATAACTGTAAACACACTACCTTGTAGCCAATAGCCGAAAGACCACATCCCGTTGATGGATTCTTGGGAAGTGTGCATTTCGCTGCCCTGCGGAGTTGCGAGTGCGGGCGGGCGGGCAGGTTGGCGTCGGTTGGCCGCGGGCGGGGAGGCGCGCGCCCACTGCGCGTGCGGGATGCTGCGCCGGCGCGCCGCCCTCCCGCCCGTCTGCAGCGGAGAGCAGGAAGCAGAGGCCAGTGCCGCCCGCCGCCGCCATGGCGCCGTCGCCTGTCGCCGCGCGCCCGCGGCCCGACGCCGCGGCCAGCGCCCGCCCTAGCCGCCAGGCCCCAACAGCGCCAGGCCGCCAATCCAACGTCCTTCCACTCGGCCTACGGCGCCCCCGCCGTACGCCTCGAACGGAGTGCCTGCACAAAGTCTTCCAGCAACAATAACCTCCTCCGTAGATAGTAGGTCGTACATGTAGCTGTGTCTCCGCGAACGTCTGCCTGTGTCATCTGTGAGAACGCTTGTTTTCTTAATTCAACGTTCTCAACGGTCTTCCGTGATATTTTCTGTATAATCAATTTTTCGTGGAACTGAATCGAACGTGCCGTGCTACCGAGTGCGCGGGCTGTGGATGCCACATGCAACGGCAGAGCGGGGGGGCGGCCGCGCAGGGGCGGGGCGGGCTGCTCGCGCCGCCAAACGCGCCGCGCCGCTGCCACGGACGGGGGCGGGCCCTCTTCGAGCGGCTGTGGCGGGTGGCACCTTCCGGGCCATTGTGGCCGTAGCAGCAGCTCGCCCTGTCGGCGTCCCCATCCCCGCGCGCCCCGCCCCCGGCCCCGCCGCCGCCGTGGGCGCCGGCTACCGCGCGCGGCGCTGCTGCTGCCACTGCCTGCAGCACCCGCCGCTGCCTCCGCCGCCCCTTCCGCCCCCGCTCGCCAACCTGCAGATCTGCCTTGTGACGCGCCGCAACTCACGCAAGACGGTGCGCTCCGTCGTCAGGTGAGGCGCTCGTCCTCCCAGAGAACTATTGAACTAAGAGTCATATTGATATTTTCCTGCCGCCGCTTACTAGAGTAAAGAATGCGAAAGGGAGGGCTTTAATTTCGGATGTGTTCAAGTTCATTTGCTAAGTGATCTTCCACATCCACGTAGCCCCTGTGGTGACAGTTCACCTTATTTAAATCGTCCCCTTTTAAATGATTTTTGGTTCGTTATAAAATGTTTGTCAGTACGAACTCTTCCAGGCCTTAAAACTTAATGTAATTAGTTGTCCCAGTCGCTGATTGCTCATACAATATTCGCGACTAAGACTCAGCAAGTGTTTCTATCAATATTATTCATTTTTGTAGACATAATTTATTATTTTAAGTTCATCCACTTAAGCCGAATGCTCATATCTCTTATAAATTCGAGAATTTTTTGAATCACTACACTGGAACGGAATTGTGTATTTTAAAAGTGAACTAAGCACACTAATTTAAATTACACCTCTTTCACTTATTATTATTATTATTATTATTATTATTATTATTATTATTATTATTGCTATAACAGTTTTTCCCTACTTCTGTGTTACTACGTAGGAATTAAAGAGAAAGTAATGTAATCGTGCGGCGGAAATAAGCGCGTTTTCGATAGAAAACTCTTTTTGCCGGGCCCTGGTAATGAATAAGTGGATAAATACTGTTCCCGTTTGTAGTAAATTACTTCCTCTGCAACGTTTGGCCTTGAGGCCGAAAAAATAGTGACGGCAAAATGTCTGTCGATCTGTGGTCAACCCCAGCGCTTAACCAGTTTAGACAATTTTCGCCAAAAATTAATTGCCCTCGATCTATCCAGGGGAACACGAGGCCCTGCCAATTTGAAACGGATATTTTCATTTATGGAGGTGCATTTTTAACATTTTATCAAAAATGACTCGTGCGATAACGTAAAGAAAACGCTTAAATGAACGACGTAGTCCTCATTTTCGTTAAAATTAGCAATTTTTGGAAAATGTCAAAAGTTCAAGATTTTTAGGCTTCTTCCTAAATAACAATAATATTGAAGTTGTTTTTTTCTGAATGAATATGTTATTCAGACATTATGTACAATTTTTCCAAAATACTAGCAGTGTGAGTTGTTGCATTGAGACATGTCATATTATCTTGCCTCATGAGCTCAGACCGAGTGCTTCCTTTATACTGCTATGTATTTTACAGTTGCCCCTGACAGGTCATCGGCTGTTACGGTGTCATCCAATCGGAAGCTTACTCGCCACTACGGTGACATTCAACCTTCCTATTGGATGAAACCGTAACAGCTGATTTACGTCAGAGGCAGCACTAAATAAATTCATGTATAGGTAATCAGAAAGTGGTAATATGTCATTTGAGCGAGATGGTGTTTTTTTGGTTGAATGGCTACGGAGTGTACACACTCAATTTCTAGGTCCAATTTGACACGCGCTTTGTCAGGAACGTTCGTAATTATATACCTATAGATCATCCCAGTTTCTGATGAACCTTTTTGAAGAGCAAATGATGTGTTGCGTAAAGAATTCATATATTCTGCGAAATAATTATTTCTGTTTTCCGTAGTAGAAGTAAGTGCCCACCTTGACCGGTAAAGAGGAATCGTGCAGGCGACAGCTCTTTCACGAATGAGTGTTCGATTTTTGCCCTCTCATTTACGAATAAAGGCATTTCGCGAAATCGAATTTATCACTTCCGGTGTTGACTAAGAAATTGGCCCCTAAGGCTCCTCTTCTTTGGGTTTTGCTGCGACCTTATGAGGGCGGCGGCAAACGCTCTTCTGTAAGGTTGTGTATTCGAATCCCACGTAAGGCATGGTTGGCTTCACATTTTGAGTTTTACTTGAAAGACAAAAACAAACTATAATGGGACCCGGCATCTAGATTTTGATTTATTCAGTCAAAAAAATAGTAAAACTGTATGTGACGCAGGGGGGGGGGAGATTATCTGCGTACGTTTTTTTTTGTGTTCCAGAATCCCTTCCCGTCATTTTAACTATAAATAGTTGAAAGATGAGTAAGAGTTTAACATAAATAAAAATAAATTTTAAAAATCACAAGATTAGCAATATTTGAAAAATTGTCATTTTCGTTTCTGAGTAATGGAAAACTTATTTGCATCGATACACGAATTGTAAGTATTATTTTTCTCCATTGTTAACAAAATAGCAAATCGCTCTTACCTCTACTCTTACCATTACAAGCAAAAAGAGAGTTCAACAAAACGTGCGCATAGTGCAGCTACATTTGTCCAGATGCAAAACAAGGGACCATCTCAGCATTTGCTCATTGGATCAGGGAATCTGGAACAAAACCTGATCGAGATGGGGGTCATTGACCCGGAAGCTGAAGTACATTATTTGTTACAAACATATTAAGACTTTTAAAAAATGTACATTAAAAATGTAAACAAATTAATTATATATCACTGTTTTGTTAAAATAAACCTTCTTTTTCTTTTTGATAATCAGTATATTTTCTAATTGTATAGAAACAGTTATGCAACAGAAAATATTTTACTTATAATTTAATTTGTGAACCGACTTGAATTGTTTAATGTTATCTGGCAATGCGTTGCAAAGTAACGTACCTGTATTGTATGTGGATTTCTCATAGTGAGCTGCTGATACTGACACTCGATGAACGTGATTTTTACGTGTGCTGTAATTATAAATCATTACGAGTTGTTTCACTTTTGCAAGGGGAAATCATTGAAAGCAATCCAACATCTCATCAGACATGGCAGTAAAAAAATAGTTTAGGTTTGCGCTGTTCAAAACGCACGTGCGTTGCACACCGCGGGGTCCAAACGTCGCCCGCCGCGACCCGCTGATCTCCTTGGCGGAAGCCCCGAAGGCCCGCTAACCGCCGCGGCGGCGTGGGGAGGCTTAAGGCCGCGCGGCCAATACGATCAAATGGGGGCTCGGGGCTGAGCCGGCGTTAGTGGGAGCGGCAGCCGCTTACGCCGGCCCGCTGCCGTGGGAGCGGGCCAGGTGGGAGTGACGCCGCCCACGCCTTGCGACCGGGGCGGTGATGGGGGAATGGGCGAATGCTTGCGGGCGCTGGACAGACAAGATATCTTTCGATGGACGGAGAAAACGAAAAAAAAAAGTCTGCTCTGTTCAAGACGGTACGCAGGTTTTATCAGTGTACTCGGTCAAATGCTTGTGTGGACTAGGGATTCCCGACCTTTTTCGTTCATCGACCCCTTTGAAAGGAAGTGTTGGCTACATCGACCCCGTTACTTTGTTCTGTTTATTATAACACAAAAAATTGCACGTAGAGATAAAAAATTTGTAGACTATTATTTTCGTAGATCTCTAGATTTTTAATAATCCACCCCGCTTCCGCGTCAGAATAGCTGGGTTTCCAGTTTTCATCCTTGGGCAATGATTCCACAATATTGGGCGTTTTTAACTGGCCATAACATTTTTCCAGTGCTTATGGCAGAGAGTAATTTCTTCCGCGGTGGAATATCTTTGTGAAGATGTCGTTAAAATTTGTAGAGTTTTCCATACATCCTAAGGAATTGCGTTCTCGAATGCGTCCTGGCGCGGAAAGTCGAAATAGGAACTCTATCTGCAATAAATATAAAATTGAGAGTTTGAAAGTTAATTGGTGGATCTTATAATAAAAGGGCTGCTACAATGGGGTGCTACTTGTTTCATCATTGCCGTTTTCCATCCGTGGTTGTCCTATTGAAGGTCACAGTAGTTGGTGAAATCGATCCGGTTGCACCAGCCTAACCAGCCCAATTGGTTGCACCAGCCTAACTACGCCCCGGATGAAAGGAAAGAAAAGCGGATTTGTAATTAATATTATGCTTTGTTGCTCTCTATCTGAAAACAATTATAACTTTTTTGTAATTAAGTTTACCAATATCACCAGGCTGTATTTGGCTGTAGATTCCTATTCGACCCCTTGATGATCAGTGACACCTTCAACATTCCATCCACCCCAAGGGGCACGGTATTTTAACCAATCGCTGGGACAACACCTCGGTCGTATAAACGTTTCGGACAACCTACGGTATGTCGGCGATTCGCGAAACTTCTTGCTTAATTTTTGACATCCCTCTACACATTAACTTCAACTTACTGCGAAATTAGAAGCAGCTTAGACACTCCCAGGGCAATAAGTAGTGTTTCTAATTTTACCCACTCTTAGACATCATAAACCAAGTATTTTGAGCACTAGGTGGGAACTAATAAACATACAAGATCCCCAGCCAATCACATTATTCTCCTTTTCATTCTTAAAGCCCAATAAATATTGCTTGTCATGTCCAGGATGATACATCTTTTTTTGTTTGATGGGAAGGGGATTGTGAACCTCTTGGACAATCACCATAACATGGCTGGGATAATTGTTTTCCCAACCCTACATGGCTAAATAACAAATCAACAGTCTCCAGACTACAACTATTGTGTGGTCCATACAGGAAATATTGAGGGATGAAAAATTGGAATACAATGGGGTGGCTACTTTATGGAAAACATGGCAAACCAAGAAAAGTGAGGAAATTTCGTTGGTCTGGAAAAGTAAGGGAAAACTCAGAGAAAATCATTAGAAGTCAGGGAAAATGTTGAGATGGTTATAAAACTACATTTTATTCTTTAAAAACTTTAGTACAGTGTTATTTTCCTCAATGTTAATTTGGTGATAAAATATTGTTAATTTATACTTCATCACCGTGAAATCAGAGAGATGACCAATTAGTATCAGGGTAGCTTCATTATTTTCATTAAGTATGTGAAATAACAAATCTTATGAAAGAAAAATATTAAAAAATGCACTGGAAAAATGGGAGACGACAGAGAAATATGTTCCATGAAATGAGTGGCCACCCAATATGAATGGACAAGCATAAAAAGGCACAGATGAATAATTACTTGTTCTCCCAGCTGTTTGATACTTCAAACTTCACGGTTTGAAGAATTAAAGAAAGCATTATCGTGAATCTTTTGTTCAAATTTGGATAAAATATTCTGGGAACACACATACATTTCTTCATATGTTTTAAACAATTGAATGCTTTCTAAATATTGTTAACAGTTATCCATCAGTAGAAGTAAATCTTCTTATATATTAATCTTGTCCTTTTTTCTTTCTTTCCCAGTGTGCGAGAAACTCATCAAATTGCTGAAGCACAGCAGGAGAAAAATGCAAAGCTGCGTGAGGCCTTTGGCATTTCTGAGTATTTTGTGGAAGGTAGTAGCCTCGACCCCCAGCGGCATGTGAAGGAAGCACAGGCAAAAGCTGCCGCAGAGCAAAGTAAAAAATACACATTGGTTCGTACTCCAAGTCCACCATCTGTGGACATATCTCCCAAAGAGAAGGATGCTGGGGAGAAGAGCAAGAAAAGGAAGAGAAAAGCAAGAGACAGGTATGGATGTTTAAAATTTGTAATGTTTTGGAAATCCACTTGGTGCATGGTTGAACAATTGTATTCAGAATTACTTTTATTGAATCCCGTAAAATGATTTGTAGTATTATTTAATTTGCTATAATGTTAATGTGTATTCTCATTGAGAAGAAATCCATACATTGCTTTTTTGTTCCTATTTTGAATTAACTTTGAATCTTTATTTCAGCTCATCAAGTCCAGAAGCAAAGAAGGAAAAGAAAAAGAAGTCAAAAAAGCACAAGAAAGACAGGTATTGTGATATAAATTGAAGTAAATTTAAAATTTCTATGTCCTGGACTTAAAATACATTTTAGCTTTCTTAATTCTTCATGATACTTTCTTCACCTGGGATAATAAAAGTTTTCTGTAATACTCTTCACTCGTGAAGTAGCTGATAGTGCAAAGGTTTTTGGTGTGATTCTGTTAGGTAAGTTCTTTACAAAAATTATGTTCTGCATTACAGGAATTATTTTCTTACCAGTAATCTTTACTTTAAATATTTTTTACAATGGAACAGCACTACCAAAAATTATATCTTCTAATATTGTTTCAACACTGTATTTTAAATACAAGATTATAGTAATTAATAGTAAAGAAAACAAATTCCTCTCTGCTTCACAGAAATATATACTTTCCTTGTGTTGTTTTTTTTTTCTTCTTTTTTTCTAACATTTTAACAACATGTATTTTTTAAGCATAAGCAAAAAGAAATTCACGTGAAAGAAGAAACCCTTCAAATAGAAATGCTACACTGACGTGTAACATGCTCTAAAAATAAACTCATATTTTATTTATATTATATAACTGTCAAGTAAAATTATTTATAATAACTTTTGATTGTGAATATATAATACATTTATTTATTACATTTCAACTCTTACAACGACACTCATGCTTTGTTAATCACTTAATTACTTGAACATTTGAGAAATGAAAGTATGTGACCTACTGTTTATATGTGATATATTATTTAAAATTCTAGATATTATTTATGTCCTAAATGTTAGCAGTTCAGTATTTAGAATTTCAGATTGAATTTTCATGAAGTCTTTCATCTGTGCCCTAGCAAAATGGATCCATCACCTTAATGCTAATTTGGTGGAATGTTTGAATGCATCTTTTGTATAATTTTTTTTTCTTTCTTTTTGCCTTTTTAACTTTTTTCGTTTGGATATTGTTGCTAGCAAAGTTATTTATTTGTAAAGTTTTTTAATTATTGGATAATTGAATTTCATAAATTAATGTCTATCATCAAACAAAAATGTTTTCTTGGATTTTATAATAAACATTGCTGACCTGCTTATCATTTTAAATGTCCCTTAGGTTTTTTATAAAGTGTTGAGTCTTATAAGTGACAGCAGAAATACTATACGTATCACATTTGTAAAATTTAGAGTAATATTTTGGTTTGCTGTTTTCAAAATTCAAATGTGGATAATGCAACAATAATTTAAAATAAATCAATGATGAATTGATTGACATTGAAACATTCAAGAATTAAAAACATAATTATGTATTATTAGCATTGCGGTGGAAAAAAATTTTGCTTCATAGTTCAATACAGATTGACAGGTGGACAGTTGAGCACTCAACTGATGCATCTGATGCATGAGATATAAGGCTGCATATTTGATTACTTTAAATACTCTATTGTAGAGTAACTAATGTTGCAGAAATGATGTGTCAGTAATGCCCTGAAGACTGAATCATGAACAATAGTAACAGAAGGTTGTATACATTTTCATCTCTCAAGCACTTAGTCAATTCAGTGATAATCATAGCATATGTTCTTGTTATTAGTCTCAAAATCAAAATGAGATTCTTATTTCGGTGCATTTAATATTATTGTTATTATTATTACATTAATTTTTGGTTGTGGTTTTTAAAATTATATAATCATTGCACACAATGATAGTCATGTTAATATAATTTTAAAGTAATACATTGCAGTGCTGCATTTCATGTTTTTATTAGGCTTTCCTGCTTAATAGTTTTTCTTTAGTATCATTCTTTTTACTTGTTTCATTGTGTGCAATGATAAAATAACATTTTCTGAATGAGTTATCTATATTTTGCAATAATGGATGGTTTGAGAAGCGAACTTCCCATTTACAGTTAATTGTCTTCTTGTATCTTTGAAAAATTTCAACATTTTAAATATCCTAAGTCATCCTAATTTATTATAAAATTACTAAAGTGTTTTTTTAATGGGAAAAATTCATATAAACGTTCAAAATTTTGTTTTACAACATTGCAGAAGCCATGCCAGATGATTTGTGTGAAAACGTAAAATATATTTGCCTCGATTTTATTAAGCAGAATAAATAATTGATAATTGTATTTAACAATTAAGGGACATTATAAAAATGAAAAATTGATTACCTTATGTCTATCAATGAACATTGCTTGTTGATACATTTTACCAAATTAGAAATAAAATTCAAAAAATATAACCTAGGGATAGCTGGCAGTTCTGACATGGGAAGATTTACTTTTCAATATCGCCATTAAAATCACATTGGTTTTCACTAAAATGAAAGAGTGTTGTTCACCATAATATGAATTGTATTTCTGTGTTTTTCCATTATTGGTAGTAACTTGAAGTACTTTTATAAATTTCAAAGAAAGTATTGTTAATACCATCTCTCTATTTTTCAAACAAGTCAGTCCTTGTCGATGGGTTAATAAGGTAAATAGTTTGCCCATAATCCTTGGTATGACAGTCAATGTGTTTCAAGCTCATAGTCATTCTTGTACACAGATTTTTTATATTTGCTGAATTTTCACAGTTTCCGTTGTGTTCAAATTTCATATTTATTTGCATATTGTTCTTGTTGTCCAAAGCATATTATATCTTGTATAATTTTAACATTTTGGTTATTTTGATTAAATTTTTTATGCTTCAAAATATATCTTTTCTTGAAACTCGATAACAAATTTCATTCTGAACTACAAATGGTATTAAATGCTGAGGACTTCTGTGTAGTTGAAATACTTATATTTTAGCTATATGTATGAATAATGTATTGTAGCTTTTCTAAGAAAAAGTGTTTTCTTGTTTGGATTCTATTCTTTAGACATTGGATTACAATTTATTAATTTTATGAAGATCATACTAAGCATGAGGACTGGTTAAGAAACTATGCAAATAGATATGTGAAGAATAATTTTAGTCTGTACTGATCAATATTCCCATTATTGTCATTTAAATACAGAATTAATTATTCAGTTGCTAATTTTGGATCACAATTTGCTGGATTTTCCCATTCAAGAAAAATAAGTATTCCCATTTTGTTGCAGCTTATTGAATATTGTCAGTTCCTAGATTTTTTCCATTTTCTCCTTATAGTCCTGACCAAGAAAACATTGTTTAAGATGTTGTCAAGTGTGAGGAGTGTAATTTCAGATATGACCTTTCCCTTTTTATCAATATTTCATTTACAATGGATCTAGCATGATAATAAACAAGTTAAATATACTAAAAAACCTTTATCATGGACACCAATAGTGGTTCTATGTGGTCAATTCCAGTCTTCAGCTTTGAAAACAATTCTGAAATTATACTTAATAACCTTTGTTCTCAGAGGCAGTTAAAGGGAATATTGATTTTTGTTGCCTCTTAATTAATTTGGAATTGGGAGAGCATTTTTTTATTTTGTTTATCATTTAATTTTTTAATGAGCTAGTTGAGCATGCATATTTATTCTTTGTAGACAAAAGGACTTACTTACGGTTTTCAGTTCATGAAATATCTATCTTATCTAAATTGTCTACCTTCCATTCCTCCCTAATAATAATAATAATAATAATAATAATAATAATAATAATAATAATAATAATAATAATAATAATAATAATTGAAAATCAATAACTCACAGCATCTCATCAAATTTGTTCTTGTTTGTTAAGACTTATATTGAGTACCAATTATATTCTTTTGTGTTGCATCATTTCACTTATAACAAGAATTGTTAATTTTCCAATACTAAAAATTAATTAATATCATGTCACAATCCTATCGTTTGTGTCATTTTGTAGGCTTTCTTTCCTTTAGCTGCCTCATAACAATTTTATTTTGTCATTGGCAGAATTTTAAATTTATTGTTAAATTTTGTGATTTTGGTAAGTGCCAACACTGATATGAATAGCAATAGCAATATTTAATGATTATTTAGAATCCAAGAAATATCGACCGCAAAGTTTTTAGAAATATGTTTAACATACTAAATAATTATCCTGACATGACATGTTTTGTGAATCTTATCCCGTCTTCAGTGGCATAAAGTATTATGGATTAAACTTGTGGGAATTAAATCAGCACCTTCTGTACTGTACAGTTCAGTACCTTTTATTTAAAGAAACATTGTGGTTGATATCTCTTGGATTCTTACTAATCATTATGAATTACCACTATCTCTGCTGCCACCACGGAATTTATAGCAATATTTGTTTGTATTGCAATGTCTTCATTTAATCTTCACAACACATTTGTTTATTTTGTTGTACCAGTAGTTAGAATTAAAACTGCTATTTTACTATGTAATGTAGTGTCAAGCCATTAATAGATGTGATCTTTTTATGTTATTAGGTCAGAGTCGCCTAAACATTCAAAAAAGAAGGTTTCTCAAAAAGATAAGAAGAAAGAGAAGGAACGCCATAAACGGCGGAGATCGTCTTCAACGTCATCCAATGCTTCCTCTTCATCATCTTCCTCCTCTTCTTCAAGTGATAATGGGGATTCTAGTAGGTGGGTACATCCTCCCCCTTTTTGTAAGGATCCAGGGCACGAAAAAAGACATCTCCAGGGCTTCAATTTCCAAATAAATATTATTGTATGTTTGTAAAGAATGTTTGAACATGAGCATCATTCAGTTTTGCACCTGTCCAGTAGGCAAGAAACAATTAGTTTTAATATTGAGAACCAGTGACAGTGTGTCTTTGTATTATTTGAATTCAGTTTAAAATTCAAAAACAGTTCAAAAGTTTAAGAATGCAAACTCCTCTCTTTTCAGCGAGTCATCTTCCAGTTGTGACAAGAAACATCGTAAAAAGAAGGAGCGAAGCAAGCAATCTACGAAGTCCAGTGATCATGGTGATAGCAATGCTAAGGAGAAACGGTCACACTCAGAGGTAAACGGGGCAGGTTGATATTCTCCTGTTGTGTATAGTGTCTGTCATAAGCAGCGTATCCTATGGAAGTTTCACTAGTTTTTTATGTTTGTAGTTGTTTGAAAATGATATTCGTCACTGGATACATAATTACATATTGTCTTTCTGATTGTTGTTTTATAGGAAATTTCAAAACAAACTCTAAATTTTATTTTTTATATCGTTCAATATCCATGACAGCAATCAAATATTTAGGTATTGGGAATATTATGTTGGCGTTTTGTAAAGAAATTATTGCTGCTTTTTAAACCTTAGAGATAACCCTTTTAAGGTTTAAACAAGTAGAATTCATTTCTTTACAAAATACTGATTTTGACCAGAGTATCTATGAGGGTCTGCTGGATGTTGCAGAAAACAATTGAACAGTGGACTAAACTTACATGAAAATTAATTTTCAAATCACAAATTTAATTTTTTCTGAATTTTTGGCAGTTTTGAATAATTTAATACACATGACAAAACTTTCATCACCTGCATAATGAACAGTTTATAGCACAATAGTAAATGATTAGTTCTTGTGTAATTGCTTAAGTTGTTGGTACCACTGTAAGGGTCAAAATATATTTTTTTAATGTATGTTGGTTGGTTTTAATGTATGGTTGTAATAAGTGCATCAATAATCAGTGTGCAAGGAGAATAGGTTTTGTTGTTTTCTTTTTGAGGAAAATGTAATAGCTTTCTGTTGAACACTTAGGATTTAACTAACGCATGGATATTGAGAAATCTTCAGATTGTTAATATTGGGAATTAATCTTATTTGATTGTCACTACAATTGATCGATAAATCTGTTATACTCATAAAAGTGATACACAACATAGGTGCAAAGCTTGTGAGAAGCACTTGTAACCTCAAAAATGTTCCTCCTAGAAACGTGTTTGTGTATATTATCATTATCATATTATCATTGTCATCATCATTCAGAAGGTCCAAGTGCCTCCATTCTCACCTATTTAGATATTTTGACGTCTCTGTTTGCCCTGGAAATGCTCCTAGTTGTTGCATCCCATTTTCACCTTTGTTTCCTGTTAATTTTCATCCAAAATTGTGTTTCATGGAATTTTGCTAACATATAAATGGACGTTTCCAAGGATATGTACAAATTGTAAGTATAGTTATTATTTGTTATGAAATTTTGTCATATCTTTATTTTTAAATCCAAGACATTTCATGATAAAATTTATTATGACTCACCATTATAATGAGGTAATCCAGTATTTACTGAATTTCTGTTAATCTTATTTGGGAGATTGTCATTATGATGCTTACTAATTTGTTTGTATAATTTGAAGCATCACCTCCTACACTCCTCAAACATATATGACTTTTCTGCATGCTAGTGACTTCCCTTGATTAATCACATCTTAATACATGATTGCTTACTGAAACTTCAAAATTCTTTGTCCAAAGAAATATGTACTAAAATAATTCAAGAAACCTTTTTCTTACATTTCTGTTGTTTAAATACGTCAAATGAATCTGTTGAAGGCAATACAGTAATTTTTTTCTGAATTCATGATTGTGAATTTTGGCATGTAATTATCATGACTATCCAAGGAGAACTTACTTATCCAAAAGTATTGTTCATAAGAGTAATTCATGTGTCAAGATGTAATTATTTTTGTGAACCTTTTATGTGCAAGCATCACTGAAGTAACTAGTTATGAAGTGATCTGAGTAAAATGTCAAAAGTTAGAGCAATAAAAATTGTTCTTGTTTATAATACCACGCACCATTGCATAGGATCCTAAGTCAGTGAGTAAGTATGGCCATATAAAGAGTATATTGCAATTCTGGTGGCGGTGATTTATTTATACAATATGATTTAGACAACAATGTAAATTGCACATGCCATGTATTCATATCTTTATTTTTTTAACAAAGCAAAAATGCTGAACCTTTTATTGCATATCTTGTTGGAATGAATGTATAGGAAGCTTGTATCATTTTCTACAAACAATTGGCGAGGGAAAAAATAATTATAAAAATGTATCCCAAAAGCATTGATAAATAAATTGCTATATCCAATTTAACAAGGACTGGGACCACCTACAAATACTAATATGTAAAAGTTGCAATGAGTTAATGATCCCCAGGGTATCAACACAATTGCTTCTTACATTTTTTAACTACGAACTGTGTAGCATCTACAAAACAACCCTAGTTTTTCAAAATAATGTTTATGGTTCACTGAGGAAAGTAATGAACTTAAAGGATACTTATCACTTATAATTTTTACATGTTATTTAAAAAATGAATGCTTTCAAGTTGTTATCTGTTCCTTAACTTTGTGGGTTTAAAATGTATTTAATGTGTTTGAACTAGTCATCCTTTTATCTTTTTAATCTTTGTCATTAAATTTCAATTAATTTAATATTACTTCTATCTTTCACTTCACAGGCTTTAGAAACTTCAGGGACATAACATATTTTGACATTTAGCCATTCATTGTGCCCCCATCTCTACATTTACTTGTAATTTCTCCCCCCTCTATGATTTCTTAAATGTTGCCAAGTATTCAAACATGTTATGAAGGAAATCAGTATTTTGTAACAGAACATTCGAAACTAATTACGTACCTACTTGTGGGAGAAATTATTCTTAGTCCCAATGAACTATTTGTCTTTTCTGTTTATGAGGGGGGGTAAGAGATTACAAAACTCTATAAGAGGAAAATATGTAGGACAGGACAACCGTTTCAGGGGGAGGGAAATTAAAAATTGCAAGAAAGTAAAAGTTGATATTTCCACTGAAAGTGTTCATTTATGTAAAATATACAGTCTACACCGGTTGTAGTGAACTGATATAATGAACCCTCAGTTATAGTGGACTTAAGTCTCTGGTCTCGTTTCATTTACATTCCAAATAAACATAAGAAGATTTAGTTATTGTGAACGTGAACCTCAATTGTAGGAAATACATCAACTGGCAATTAATTTTCTCCTGGAAAAGAATATATTGCGTCAATGCTGCAAATTCCAACACTAGGCAGCTTGAAAAAATATCGTCCAAAGATCGTCATCAAAAAAAGTCTCCCCTGAAGTGAATGTAGTGGACCTGGAATGGGTACTTACTGATGACTTCATGCCACTCAGTTTCAAGCTTGACGTTATGAGATGTTCCGCGGGTCAAAGCATGTTGTATTCTACTTTTCTGAGAGAAAGTGAGTAACTGCTACAGCCCCACAGCCTCCCAATACCCCCCCTTATGCATGGAAATGCAATCAGTTTCATTAGCGGCAGAGTGGGGTTCCAACAGTGCACGTGGCATTGAAAGGTTTCAAAGACTGCATTACGATACTTCAACACAGTGGACAATGCAGGATCAAGAATGGCAAGAGCACGAACTCTGGCGAAGGATTAGAGAAATTATTAATGAAAAATGTACGAAGTCAACAATTGAAATTTATTGAATTTTTATAGAACAAATAAAGATATTGAAATTTTCAGTTCGTGCCGTTCATTCCGTATTTTCAGTTCGTGCCGTATTTTCTGTATATCTACATATATTAATAACAAAAATCATTGTGGAGAAATTCAATTTAATTCTGACATTCTCTGGTAGTAAACCAAAAATGTTACCCAAAAACATTACTCCCCAGAAGTTCACTATAACTGGATGTGATTGTATATGTAATATTAATGTATAAAAATTAAGACATTTTTTTTATTCTTCCATTTCGTTTTTAGTAACCAATTTAAAGTTAAAATACTGGTCATCCTATATTAGGGTAAATTTTTGGAAATTTATTTCAAGCAATGTATATTGTATAATATTGAGATAAATATGGAAATATATTGCTCACAATTTTAAATGGAATAATATTTATTTAACTATGTTAATTATTTTCATACTTTAATTTTGTTATATTAATGTCTTCAAATTCCTATAAATAATTCAGCGTGAGGAGATGGTAAAGGCTACCTAGCATTACAACAGATATGTAAAGTATGCTACAGCTTCCAAATTACACTTTTTAATGCAAAAAGTTATTGCTAAGAAACAATTCACTCAGCATTTTTGATTGTGCAACTATTAACTACACTTGCATGTGTCTCATGTACAGTGTATAAAAGTTTCTGTGTTATTTTAATTATAGCTTTCTTCTTACAAGGTTTGCTTTATTTGAATACTTTTTATGTGTGATTATTTTCATTTCAATTTTTAAAGCCTTCGGTGTGTATTGTTTATTTTTTGTATCTATTGTTCTCCTGATGTTTTGTGGTGGTTTATTTACATTTTGTAGATTACAATTATTCTAGATGAAATATTTTGATATGATCACAAAAGGGTAGATCCCCAAAGAAAGTTAAAAATCACATACATGCAGTGGTCCTCTATACCACACAGTGCCTTGCAATTTTTGAGGTTTCCTTTTTTGTAGTTTATGTTTTTGTATTGGATGTATTCTTGTTGTTTGTATCTCTGTATCGCACAGGTGCTATAAGTAATAGAATCCAGTAAATATATACATATGCATAAAAAGAGTGAAATAAATTGTCAAAACATTTTTCTTAATGACAAAAGTTGAAGATCGAGATTTTCAAAACTAACTTTTTAGTGAATTATTTACCCTTGTCTTTGTTCTTTTGAAATTAGCGTAATGAAAATCATAATTAATATTTCCTTTTTAAAATTGTATTGAAACCAGAAAATTTTATATTTATATTCTACTTGGTCTGAATTCACACTGAAGTACATAAAACTAGGTTTGTTTTATTTTTATACTAAGATACTATTCTTCAGAAGTAATAATAATTGTGAGAGCTTTTAACGTACCCTGTTGAGTTTCTGGTGTTTGCCAGAATCCAGAATTATACATATTATAATATTAAAACTTTATAACAAAATAAATTTTAAAATAAGAGTTTAAAAAGTCAGCATTGAGTAGAAATGTCCCAGAGGGATTTTTACATTTGGTACCATGCATGTATTGTGGTATATTCATGAATAGTAGTAGACAAAGTGCTTAGTGATTCTGTATTTTCATTTGTTTGTTTTGTTCTTGCCTGCAGAAACGACGTCCCTCTGGTAGTAGCAAGAAGAAGGGTGGGTCTGCAGATAGTGATACTGATAGGTAAATGTCATGATATTTGTGTGTGTGTGTGTGTGTGGTGGTGGTTGTTGTTGTTGTTGTTTTTTTTTTTTTTTTTTTTTTTTTTTTTTTTTTTTTTTTTTTTTTTTTTTTTTTTGTTGTTGTTGTTAGAAAATGATAGTTTGAAAATGAGTAGTTGACTCAAAAAAATGTATTTCAAGGCTTTATTGCCCTTGAATTATGTTTGTTTGTTTGTGAATGGTTTCATTGTCTGGTGTTGTCCATTTTTCAAAAATGACAAAAACCAGTAAATTTAATTACTTCCAAATTTTGTATTACTTTCTCTGTTTAGAAGAGAGAAAAATTCTGTTCTGTTTTTTATCTCTAAAAGAGCATAATTTGACGTTATCCTCCTTCTGGAAACATGATCACGAATTTCATTATTTGTTTCAGTGGTCCAGAAACTGATAGCAAATCTTCAAAAAAGCGATCTTTGGAGAAGGGGGAAAAGCATCGGGCAAAGCACGTGGCACCATCTCCTTCACCACCTCGCAATAGATCTCATTCTAATATTAACAGAAATGGCAGTCGTGATAAAAGAGATAAAAATGATACCAAATCCAAAAAGGGTCCTGACAGTGATGATGAAAAAAAGCATAGTAAAAAGGATCGTGAAGTGAAGAAAAGAAAAGACAATGTAGACAACAGTATCACACGGCAGCGTTCAGTGGAACGGCAAGCTAGGCGTTCCAGATCTTCGTCTGTGAAAAGGGGTAGTGTGGACCAAAGGAAGAATCGCTCATCCCCAAAGGTTCAAACACATCACAGGAAAAGTTACTCTCGTTCTCCCTCTGCCAAACATCATCGACCAAAAGATGGGAAAAATTCACGTAGTTCCACATCTCCCAAACGTCGCCGATCACCTACTCCTCCTAAGAAGTTTCGTAAATCAGTTTCGCCAAAAACAAGGCCAAAAAATCGCCGCAGATCAGAAAGTCGTAGTAGGTCACCCTCTCCAGTGAAAAATAAGAACAGTAATAGAAATAAAAAATCATTATCACATTCTCCTGTTGCCAAAAATAAGCAATCCCAGCACCGTCGTTCGAGAAGTAGAACTCGATCCCCTTCTGTTAAAAATAATAAGCAGAAGTTTAATAGAGAAAGTAGATCTGAACTTGAAAGTTCTCCTAAGAGAAAGCGTTCTGCTTACTCAAAATCACCACGACCACGAAGAAGGTCTAGAAGTAGATCTAAATCTCTTGCAAAAAATCAACAGCCTTCAGCAAGAACATCAAAATCTTCTCTTTCTCCCAAAACAAGACGATCAAGGAGTAGAAGCCATTCTCGTGACCGAAATACTCATATGGTTGAAAACAAACGAAAAGGACATTCTCCTTCTCACAATAAAAATAAAGAATTTAGAGCCCACAGCAAAAGTAAATCTCCTAATCGAAATAATAAAACCTCAACCAGGTTATCACCATCAACCAAAAAAAATGTGACTAATACTGAACATCAGAAAAAGGCACCTGCAATCAATACAAAAAAATCTTCTCTGGCAGATCCTGTACAGCAACATAAAAATAGAAGTACTAGTAGTGAAAGTAGTGATAGCTCAAGTTTAAGTTATTCGCCTGTTGAAAGAAATCCTGAACGGTACCGTGATGTTTTGGGAGACAGCAAAGTAATAAAAAAATCAAGCAGTACCAAGCATTCTGAAAAGGGTAAAAGAAGTTCTAATGGTGAAAAGAAACGCTCTAGATCTCGATCAGAATCACGAAATAGTCGACCTGTCCCTCCTGTGATGCCACGTGTTCGTTTGAGGTCATCAAGTGGTGAAGATGATGATGACGAAGTGGGTAATGATGACAAGGAGAAAAAAAAAGAGGAGGAGAAAGAAATTCATACACTAAAGATTTTGAAGTCTGGTCTTGCAGAAAAGGCAAAAGAATCATTGGAAAAGAAACTGTCAAAGTTATCACCTGAACATCAGTCATCAGAAAAGTCAAATAGTAAGGACACAGCAAAAGCAGTAGTGGTCAAACAAGAAACAAAAAGTCCCCCGACACACCGTTTAGAAGCAGTTTCAGATATTGCATTACCTGACCGAGACCCAAAGTCAGTGCGAAGTCCATCAACTGGAGCAGAGGAAGGGTGTACGAAAGGAACCACTCCTCCAGTTAATTCTTCAGAGGCAACAAAAAATCCTGTTCAAGTCAATCAATCTTTACAACCAGATTCTATACCCAAACCACCTGGATCCCCTCCTGAAAAGAAAGTAGAGGCCAAGAAATCTGAATCAGAAGTAGTAAGCAAAAAGGACGTTCGTGGCGATTCATCAAAAACTCGCCACAAAACATCCCAGTCTCCCAGAGTCTCAAGACGACAGCGTTCCAATTCAAGTAGCCGATCACAAACTCCATCCCCTGCACGAAAACCATCTCCCAAGTCTCACAAATCTCGCAGTTCTTCAAGATCAACATACAGCCACAGGTGAGAGGGAAATAGAATCATGACTCTTTGTGTACACTAATGTAACATAAAGTTGGTAATGCAGAAATAGAAAATATAATTTAAGTTATCAGATGATGTAAAAATGAAACATTAATCAATATTTTCATCTACAAATACAAAAATGATTTCAAGTCTTTTATGCTTTTTTTTTACTTTACCTGTGCAACATGCTTAATTGAGTAACTGCATAACGTATTGATTTCCACTTCAAAAAGGACTTTTTTTACAGAAATTGTTTTGTTGTCTGTCGCAGTTCATCACGGCCTAGTCCAAAGCACTATTCATCAAGCAGCAGTCGTTCACGATCCAGGAGTCATTCAGGAAGTCCATCACGATCTCGTTCTGTGTCACGATCCCCTTCAGACTCTCGCTCTTTATCACGTTCCTTGTCGCGCTCACGATCTGGCACTCGCTCACGATCTCATTCCCATAGTTCTGCGAGTTCAAGTCGACATTCATCTCGTAGCCGCAGTTCCCGCAGTAAAAGTGGTAGTTTGAGTCCAAGCAGTAGCCACACATCCAGATCGCGCTCTCCCTCTATTCCAAGACGTAGAGGCTCTCCTAGCTTCTTGGATCGACGCCGCATAACCAGGTAACTTGTCTGAAGGAGTGGTTGCCATGAATTTTCAGTCAGTCAAATTTCTAAATTACTCATATTGGTTATCTTGGTCCTCTTCATTTCATTTATTATAATTACTGATACGAGAGATTATTTTTTTAATTGCCTTCAGAGGAAATTATTGTACGGGAGAAACTCATTTGTAAAGTCCTTTTTCTTTATAGTGCGTATTTTAATGTTTAAAGGTAATTAGCCTCTGCTCTTCACTTTTTTACTTTTATTGCTCATGCTATGGTATTTCTTGTCTTTGAATAGCCGTTATGATGGCAAATCTTTAATTTTATTTTGTAGAATGTATTTAGTACTCTGTTATGAGAAATGTAAATTGTTTTCAAACATAGTTGTATCTACCTCAAGAGTAATGAATGCTTATTGTAAGTAAATAAAATACAAAAAAGAGTACAGAATACATGCGTATGATTCCCAAAATTTTTTACTTGGTTGTTCTTAAATATGAAAGAAATATTAAGTTGATATATACACACAAAATTTATTTCTTTAGTTTTACCTGAGTTTTAGTACAAAAAAATGTACAAATAACAGAAATAGGGAAAATTAATAGTTTCATTTCGTCAAAAAGAAGTAAAGAAGACTGTTACTGAATGACTAAGGAGAATCAAATTATAGTTTAATAGAAGACAGAGTTGAATATAATTGTCTGTAGTTACATAATTAAAAGAATAAAAGTCCCCAAATCAATTATGGAAGAGGAAAAGAAGGGAACATTTTCAGCATGCGAGAGGTATATTTTTCATGTTAGAAAGCATAGCACTACGTTTCATGGTTACACCTTCAGGTGGATGTTTTCAAAACACTTTTATTGTGTGTTTCAGAACCTCCTGAAGATGTGGTTACATTGAACCACAAAACTTTGTGCCACATTTTCTATTATGGAAAATAAACTTCTCATATACTGAGATTTTTTCTGTGTTGGTTGTAAATAATTGATTAAAAACTTCTACAATTTTAAAAAGAAAAAAGTTCAGGAAGACTTTTATGGAATATTGGTTAATATTTAAGTATGATAAATAAAAGATGGTATCAACAATTTACTTGGCTAATGATCGTTTCTATCGTGTTGCAATCGTCCTCGGAGCTAAAATTCAAAATAAATTATATTAATACGTGAATTATAAACAATTAGGCATAAGTTAATACAAATATTATATACAGGATGTAAACATTGCATGCCAGATGCATAAGCAAACTGGGTCGTACATACCTTTCAGCTTCCAGGCCAAAAACAAAGTTCTGCGAATTTTTGAGTGTGTCTCTTGTGTTGTCTTACATTTTTAATTATCAAAATTATTGGTAAAGTGCTAGTCTGATTTTTTATCAGGTTTTGAAGAGGAAATTGTGTATTTTCTTCCCTCTTATCCATATAAATGGCTAAATTTTAACATATACTTCAAAATTTAGCAGTTTTGAGACATGTAATCCAAAAGAAAAGATCATTTTCTACCAATTTCTTAAAATGTTGGAAATTGATCATAATTTTTATTAAGTTGCCAAAGCTTTGATGTATTTTACCCTCTTCAAGATGCATATTTGAGATTTGGTGTTAAAATTTAGCTATTGATATCGTTGCTGTGCAATCACATTATTTATTTTTATCCCAGCACTGCAAATTCTCAAAATCAGAAAAGGGATGTAAAATCAAGAAAATAATGAACACTGCAAAGGTTAAAATTGAATAAAGCCACATTTTTGCATAAAACTTTTACATACAATGAGGTTGCTTCATCTTCATTGCAAAGAGAAACTTTTCTAACTGTGTGGTGAATAATTTCATTACCGCCTCCTTAAATGAGGGAAAATACATTTATGCTACTTTTGCTTAGTTTCTTTGCAGTACTTTCTTGTAGTTGATTAAGCAAATTTTTATTAATTTAATTACGTGCAAGATATGTATGCTTTGACATTTGATGCAGTTTGTTTTATTATGTTCACTGACAAATTCTGTGACATTTCTTAGCAGGACCAAGCCAAAGTGATAATGGACAAGGATCTTCATCACTCGTCCTTGCCTTTTGGAAGGTTTATCATCGCTTCAGTTTTTCAGCAGTTTCTCTCTTGTTGGAATTTACAAACTAAATTAGAACATGTAGAATTATCTTTTTTTCTGACTATATTGTGTATATTTATATGTTCTGTATGAATGGAGATGTGTGGTTGAGGAAGAATTTTAAGATGACCAACTAGTGCTAAAGTCACACCTAATTTATAAGCTAGTTGCAGTATTTTTTGTGTTCAGTGTAGTATCAGACCTTTGTATATTTCTTTATTCACTGTAGTTAATGTTTAAGATAGTGTGTTTTATGTTACGTTCCTGCAATCTCTTGTACAGATAAATTTCCCAAAACTGTGTCTGTTGAGTCAAAATTTGTAAAGCATGGTGCACAAAAATTTTTTAGCTTTCTTTGGTCATTTTTATTTCTTTAAAACTCCTATTGCTTTGCTTATTTTGATGTAGACAAATGTAGAAACTTATTATTGTAAGTTGAAAGTATTTGCCTCTTCAATGTAAAATTCAGTTTCAATTCAAAACTTAAAGTACTCCTAGCATACCAAATACATGTATAATGGCTGTTATATAAATCTTTGGAAAAGAAAGAAAAACTGTTGCACAAACAACTGAAACAGTGTTTTAATTGTCATTCAATTTTTCATTTAGTAATGAAATGTTTGGTATTTCTTATTCCGAAAGATAAAGTATGAATAAAAGAAATGAAATTTTCAAACTCTGAATGATATTATGAGTTCATGTGTAAATTGTGAGCTGTCACTTGTAAGCAGACTACATGAGCAAAAACTGAAAATTTCCTGCATTTCCTGAAGTCCTGTTGTTTTGTTATTGTTTTTTTTTATTATTATTATTTATTCTTCTTTCTTTTCCTTATTTTATTTATTTATCTTTTTAAATATATTTTATTGAAAATGTTATGACATCTGTATCAGATTCACAGACCATCTCAACGTCATGAGATCTAATGGCAATGGTTGTTATATCAAATTATTTATAATTTTTATCATGATTTTCATTTTGGGATAAAAATTATAAGGGTCCAATTTTTTGGATATCTTACATACATGAAGAAGGAATGCATGTTTTGACTTAGAAGATCAACCAATTTAAGTTGCATCCTCAAATTTTCATCAACTTTTTACTCTTTCATGTAAATTTCCATTCTCTGTTATTGATTTTAATGTTAACACAGATGAGGATAAGATGGCAACTGTTGCTATTGCCATAATTTAGCAGTGACTGATTGGAATTTTTTTAGAAACACTTTGTAAGTATAATTATGTTCACTGGTTTGTGATTTAGTCATTTTTAGTACAATATGCTTAATCTTTGAGCTTCAAAATAATAATTGTAATGACAATGATGCAGCTGCCAGTTAACTAATTTTATCACGTTTCAACAACATATATTTTATGCAAAATAAGCAACAAAAAAAAAATATTTTTTTTCCACACTTTTGATTTTTTTACTAAATTCTGTTGTGTATTATTAAAAATTGTATGAATGATAATATAATTTGTAAATTGAGACTCTTTCTCTTAATTATGTAACATTTGATGTGTGATATTTAAAGTAGCAATGGAATATGTTGACTTGTGCATATGTGGTCATTAAATTCCATTCTGTAAAATTTTATTGGGTGAAATTATATATGGTTTCTCTCAAAGAATTTCCATTTTTGGTTACTTTTCCATCTCACGTTCCAACACTTCCTATTCCTTTTCAATCATGATTATTTTTGAAGTTGAAAATATGAGCACATTTGTCACCTTCCATTTTTTATTTTTCCTATAAAAGGTCCTTTTAAGGTCCACATATGTTCAGTGTTTTTTCTTTAATTTACTTTGATAATTTTACACCCCCATTCCTCATATTATCAGACCGTTGAATGGAAAATGCGTAAATGTTGAATGTAAATTAAATACTTATTTTCTCCTTTTTACTGTGAATTTTAATATATTGTAAAGCTTCATAATAAAATAAAAAGCCCCAAAACAATTTTCTTGTTTACTTTTCTATTTGAACTTCTGATTTTCACTATTTTTAGAACAATTCCATCTCAATTCTGACCCATCTTTTGCTATTGTTTAGAATGAAATACAATTTTGTGTGTAATGCTTTTGTCTTGACATTTGTTCTAGAGTTTTGTATTTGAAAATTCATTTAATCGCCTGTTTGAGAACCTTTATTTATCTTCTTTTTATTTTTGAGGTAAGTTTACTCTCTTCTTTTTAACTTTTATATTTTTTTAAATGATGCATGGCTTTAATCTGCATTATGTTCAATTAGTATGATAATTATTTATATTTTGTGTGTTGTAAATGTGTTGCAAAATTTATGTTTGTCACATTTATTTTTAATTAATCAATAATCCTTAATAATTGTGTATCAGTCCTTGAAAAAGTATTCTTCCCAAGAAAAAAGTGCAATCAAAAACTTTTAACCCTTATTGAATAAAATTATTTGCGAACTTCTTTACCAACTTTTGTGTGTAAATGCACATATTTTATAATTGCACCATAAATAATGTAGAATGCTTCAAAATTAATTCACACAAAATGAGATTTCTTGTACTTCAGCTATTTAAAACGACTGTGCATTTTTCTTGTTTAGTACTTAACATTGTGTTGGTTAATAAAATTTTGGTTTGAATGAATGATTGAAGGATGAACGTTAAATGATTGTGTGAATGATGCATATTAAGTGATTTGTTGCCAGCACAGTTATTTTGTTGTGAATTTACCGTTACTTCCTTTGTTTGTTTTTTTGTAAACGGTAAAGACATAAAAGTCATATTGAGTAATTTCTTTTTATTTAAAAAATGTGTTTTCAAACAAATAACTGATGCTTGTATTAATCAATTAATTATTACTAACAATTGTTTCCTTATTCTCAATGCAGGGTTCTTTGGCGTGCATGGATCGGACGACAATTGCTACAACTAACAACTTTTCATGTTTTCAGCTTTTCTAACTGCATTGTTTGTAAAGTTGGCTGGAACACTTGTGCATGTACATCTGGTTTATAAAATGATTTTGAACCTGTGAAAGAATATCAAAATATCTCGTTTTCCTTTCTGTTTTGTGATACTATTACAAATTTTGTAATGCATTCACAAACTCATACATGTCACTACCTACCTCCATACATGTCACATAAGTCCATAGAATCACAAAGAAAATGTAATATAATTTCTGTTCTTAGTCCTGTGGTAGTATCAATTATTTTCTTCAGAATGCTTCACAACACAATCTGGAAATATCTATCTATTGCTAAACCCACTTACTTACAATGCATTATTTAGATTTTGCATCATAATCATTTATAGTGAAACAATTACTAATAGTCATCAAAAGTAATATTCTCTTGAACGTTGACTAAATAATTAGCATCAACTACAAAGGTCTGGAGGAAAGCTCTTAGCTATTGTAAATTAAGTAACATGTGATACAGACTTTGAAATATATATACTTGTCTGCAATAGTTTGTTTATACAAATTAATTTTACTATGATACCTTTTCATTTGATGTATGAAATGACCTGCATACTAATTTAATAAGGGATTTTCCCTAAATTTGTCTGAAGAATATTAAATTAATATGGTTAAATGGGCCTGAAACATATATTTTGCATACTAATTGCAACACAAATTAAATAAATGAATAAAATAAGGCAGTTATTAAGAGATTAAAAGTATACATATTGGGAAGAGGTATATATCCTTTTAATTGAATAAAAACTGTTAGCTGAGCTAATCGAAAGGTTACTCGAATTAAAACGCGTACAAATAAAGTGGTTACTGAAGTTTAATATTTTGATTCTCTAATAATCCCTAGGATAGTCTGAAATAGACATATTAATTATTTAATAATAAAAGAATGTTCATTTTTCATCTGAAAGCATCTGAGTTATGAAACAACAAAAAATTAATTTCTGTGTTACTAATATTCTTTTCTATTCTGAATATTAAAAATAGATAGTTCAGCTTCTTTTCTGAGAGATTTCTTTTATTATTTATTTAGTGAAGTAACATTTTGCGAGTTTGATATTGACTTGAAATAATTTTGATAATAATATTTTAATTTGTGTGTGTGCCAAAAGTACTTAACACCAATTTGCGTATAAATAACAGAAACGTTAATTGAATGCATTTGCTATTTTTCACAGCTGAATTCATTTAATACATATTTCATTTTTCATAAGTAAACTTAGAAGAAAATAACTAATCAATGCAATGGCTGGGATGTTTCAGTGCTCGCAAGCGTCCAATTCCTTACCATCGTCCTACTCCTCCCACACCTTCTACTTTGAGTAGCCGGCGAAGTTGGAGCAGTTGCAGCTTTACTCCACGAAGTAGTTGGTCAGATCGGAGCCGTTCTTCTATTCATTCAGTCAGTCGTAGTCCTTCACCCTACAGCCGATGATTTAAGAGGTGAATGAACTCTAAATTCAGTATTGTTCCTTGCATTCATCATTATATAGTGAATACGAATGTGTGTGACTGTAAGTTCCAGAGGTATGTAAAGTCTTGATATTAAGTTGTAAATTTGACACTACTCTTGCACAAAATAAGTGTAGAGAAGTGCTATGTATGTCACTGTGTGCTTAATGCTCTGACTTACCATGTAAATATTACCCCTAATGTGCATCATGAATTTATGTCATCTCTAGTCACTTGTACTTAAAATACTGGTCATTAATGCAAATTTAAAATTTTGTTTTTGATGTTGAAAGATATTCTTTTACAATTGTTTATGTGTATTGTGACATTTATTATTTATCATGTAGCATATAAAGGAAGCTTAAATTAGAGTGGATGATTTATGATAAAAAATAATTTATTTCAATAATCCTTGAGCTAAGCCAAGAATTTTATTATATAATGGAACATATCTAGTGTTATTTCATTATATCCAATAGTGTAAACAGAAATCAAAAGCCCAAATCATGGCAAAGAATATTAATTACACGTGGCTTATCATTCATAATTTTCATATTTGTATATACTGTATGGTGAACAAGGTATATATATTCATACGTGTGATTGCAACACTTGCTTTTTAGTTGAGTAAAAATATGAACTAACACATTAATTGCGTGAAAAATGTACATTGGAAAAGTTCAGTTTCATTTTAGTGTGAAAATTGCCATTATTCGAATGATACTCATTACCTGCTTTCCTACTCACTAAATGACTTATTTGCAAGATAAAGCAAAAATGAAATACTGTATGTTTTGTATTTACAAAACATTATTTTAGTAATTTTTCATTAAAAATGATAGGCAGTAGATGACAATAATACCCTTATTACGAATTTTTTTTAAAATGTTTGCTTAAAAAAAGCATGTTGGAAGGTCAATCCAAGTATGAGATTCAATTCCAGAGTTTTAATTGCAATACTCCAAAAATTGAATGAGATGAAAAATTTATTTATACTCATATTTCTGCAGTGCAGGTTATTTATCACAAATTTATTATTACTAAATATAAGAACATAACACATTGTTGTATTTGAATCCAAATTGGATGTAGATGAAATAACTGTTGTAGTATATTTATTGCAAATAAGGCAGCACAGGTGCTACTACAAGCCCAAAGAAGGTAAAGATGTTGAAGTTCTCTGTGTGAAAAGAATTCTAAATTTTGTGTCAAATGAATTTTTATTGAATTCATTCCTTGTTTTTAGTAGAGAAATAATTCTCTTTTGGGTTTTGTTTCTAGTGAGTAAAATTTAATTTAATTATTTATATTATTAAATTTTTAATTGTTTTTGTTTTTATGTATATCGTTATAATTGTTAGTTTTCTAGTCATGAAAACAATATTGGAGGGGAAAGGTATATTTAAAAATTCAATGTTTACACTGAGGCATAATACTAAAACTTCATTAGCAACTCTTTGATAGAATATATTTATATCTACATAATGAAATGGAGAAGTGATGTTCCAATAGTCCAGATGCTTCAACAAGATATTTGATTTAGGATAAATAAATATATTAGAATTGTCTGAAGGAATTGAATAATTTTAAATCTTGAAACTTCTCACAGTCACAATTTCACACGTACTCTCATTTCTATCCAATCAAATGGATGGAAATAAAGCTATTATTTGTTATTCAATACATTTCAGCATAATTTTATTACTATAATTAATATTTGCATGACAACTTGTGTCTTAATGTGTTTAACATTTTATTAATTCACATTAAAATCAGAACTCTCCACTAGATGATCAAGATTCTGTTGACTCTTCAATTGCAATGTAGAATAATGATTGTTGTTTAAAAAATCCACTTCTTTTATAAATGATGTATTACCTAACAAAGAAATTCATATTTGCTTAAGAATTGATTTAACTCCACTGTTTCTTTCTTTGCTATTAGCTTTACTATTTTCTTTACATGTTGGCAAGGGGGTACGGAGTGCTTAAGATAATCATTATGCAATATTCATTTTTCTAGTCAAACCAAAACAAGCATAAATTTTTTATTATGTACAATTTTATTACATGTATTTTGTATTATTTTTTAAACAAAGACCCTGAATTTTTGTTTCAAATATGGAGAGAAATGTTTGTTTCTATAAGTGAAACATTTTTTTTTAAATTTTGTAGATGTTTTAAAAAATATTTATTATTGTTTATTTTACATGTAAATTTTTAATTGTTTATTATGTAAGTAAAGGTCATTTCTGAAGTTTATATAATAATGAAAAATAATAAAACAGAAATTCATGATATTTTTTTCTTTATACTATAGGGAAGTGAATCAAGTTTTAGTGTGAATTAATGGTATCATGTGAAGTAATGAATGAATGCATCGAAGGTGTCAAAAACGTTGAAAATATTTCAGTTCACAGAAGCTGTATTACATTTTTACATGCAACTTGTTTATAATGTTTGATAGCAAAAAATATTTCTGACATTTATTCATGCAGTGACAAATTGATCTTGTGGTATATGTGATATCACAGGATACTAATTTTGTTAGAAAAGATTTAGTCTGTGTAATACAAATTAAGGATAAATTGCAAGGTATCAGAACAATTATCCAAAGAAATATTTTCTTGCATTGTGTCATTATACAGTAACTAATGTTAATGTGTGTATATCTGTCAATTTTGTTATAAGAGATTTGCAGTGAAATTCAATTCAATATATTGAGCTTGTTTCCAAAAGGTACAAAATCAAACTGGACAAATTGTACAGTTGAGCAAAAATACTTACTGTTATCAAATCAGTAATGGTATTAAATCAATATTTAAATTAGATTTTTTTCCTGGGAACCATTGAGGTATTTCGTGCCAAATTTTAAGTTATTCTGTATTTTATCCCAAGGATATAAGGATTTTACTTTTGAAGTTAGTACTTTTGGCATAAAAAGTAGAATGAGTTAGATATGAGTATAATTAAAAACCAAATAACTAGTTTTTAATAATATTTGTAATTTACTGCTTCATTGAATCATTTAAATTATTTTCAAATTAAAATACTAATGAATCTCAACATTATCTAGGTATTAACTTCATTCATCGTAAAATATACCAAGGTTATTAGAATTATCTTCATTAACTATATTTTCTTCTACTACAGCTTTATTTCTTGCATTTAAAAGTGAAGTGGATTTGGTACATTTTGCTATGAAATTAGAAATTTGATGACCTCCTACAAACAAAATTAAGAAGTTTTTGTGAAAAATAATATTATATTTAGATTCTGACATCGTGAAATAACTACCATTATCTATAGTTTAATTTTTGGAAAATATGATTTGGGTAACCTTCGGAAACAAGCTCCTCATATATGGTATCCTATTATGGAGTGTCATAATTGTTTTTATCAGTTTATTGAATTGCCTCTAATATTTGTTTAGAACTCAAGCAATAATCTTAAACTCATCTTTCATCATAATCTCATCTGATTTCAAACCCACAATGTGCCTCTTCTGTGATTACTTATTACTTAATTCTTTAGACTAAAAATTACAATAATATTTCACCCTAAAATCATTGTTATATAATAGTGCAATATCAATGTCTCCCAAAGATCTGAGTTGACTAGTTGGAAATTGTAATTAGGTACCTGTGAAGTTAAGGAGCAAGAATTGACTAATTTTTAGAGTAGTCAAACGTACTGAAACTAATACATTTTTCTGGTACTGAAACAGTTCAGTCTTTTATCTAGCTAGAAAATGTTACGTATGTTATTTATGAGCAATGTCTCTAATTCTTGAATTTGTTCTTGCTGTGGTCTTTTAAAAACTTAAAAATCACATGCTTTTCTAAATTGTCACTGCAGGTGGAAGTGATTTGAACTTGCACTGGATGTATTTCTCTACAGATAATAGGTGTCCCTACTTAAAATTCATGCTGTGTAAAATAAGAGTTAATAAAACAAATTATTCAAAAATATTTGAAGAATGGAAATAAGTCTTCAATTTCTAACATTTGATACAAGACCATATTTTAACATAAGTTTTGAGAAATAATTTCTCAGTACTCTTCCCCTTGCCTATCAAACTCATATCACATTATTTACATTACATCCTCTCTTTGGATGAAGCACTGTGATTTCATTTTTATTATAGTAATAGACGTAGAAGTAGAATAAAATGCGTTAGAAATGACATGACGTTAGAAAATTGTTTTATGTGCTATTCATGAGTTAAAAATGTGTGAAAGAAAATTACTTCCCTATGTACTCATTTTAAATGTTTGATTTGTATTAAATATGTTTTAATAGTTGAAGGTCTTCTTTCATCTGCCCTAATTAGTTTCTTACATATGTATACGTATTAGCGGAACCCGGCAGACATTTTGCCCAACATCTCGCTCTTTCCCTCTCCCTCTTTCTCCGTCTCTCTACGACTCTGCATCTGTCTCGCAATCTTTTTCTCTTGTTTTTAAGAAGCACGAAGTCGGGCCATACTAACGCGGCGCTCTTCTCGAGCGACTTCTCGTTCAGTGGATTGACTCTCAGTTCCGAAGCCTAATTGCATTACGGCCACACAACCTTCTCTGTACTCCCAACCGTTGAATGACTTCAGACTACAAAAACGGCCGAACGCTGCAGTTTTACCCATTCACCAGAATGGGCGCCGCCCCGCTGTCGTCTTCTCGTTCTATCAGCGCTATTAAGACCTGGTTGATCTCATGCAGCAATCGCCCACCCACCCCCTCGCTGTCGTCTCCAAGCTCAGCATAGTTCACATTACCACACTCCCCAGCTCGTCCTGACCTGCTCGACGCCACCCCGGATCACACGGCAGCGGTCAACAATGACGCTCGTGTGGATCGCAGTTTGAATGAAAGTGAAAGTCCAGCAAAAATCTAATGAAATGTTCAAGGAGATCTCATCATGTGGATTACGGTGTAGGAAACATAATTTTGAGGCCTTTAGCCTCAAAATTGTATTTTTTAATGCCCTAGAACGCTTCATTCGTGAGTTATTTAACGATATATAGTCAAAAATCTTAGTGATGCGAGTGGCATTTGACATGACTATTGAGATTTATTTTTGTGTCAATTTTCCCGATATTTTAATAGTTATTCTGCTATTCCGGGCGGAGATGAATCCAACAAATCACAGATAATTAAAATTGGTTCAGCCCTTCTTGAGTAATACGAGGGTTGCCTTTTATATTTCAGGATTAGAGAACAAAAACAAATATTAATAACTGAAAATCACTTTATTGTTTTTCAAAATATTCCCCATGAAGATCTATATACTTTTGCATGCGTTTGAACCAATTGTCGAAGCAACTTTTGCGCTCTGATTGAGTATCTTCCAAAACATACATAACTCTGATGCAGCAACCGCTTCTTCAGGTGTCGAAAAACGTTGACTCTCAGTTTTTTACGTACGGCGAAATAAAAAAGAAGTCATTTCGGTGCCAGTCAGGACTATAACGGCAGATGACTCATCAAATCGATGTTTTGGGTGCTCAAAATGCAAGTTGTTTGAGCCGATGTGTGAGAGCTCGCATTACGTCGTGTTTGAAGGAATGATCCGTCTCGGCGCGTTGGATTTCCTGAATTTCTTGGAAGACAGCTGCAACAAATCGTTGTTACCACTCAGATTGACTTGTTCTGCGTTGTTCTAGTGGTACGGTTGCGAACATGTCCAGTGTTTTTCGAAAAAACAGGCGACCATCTGTTTGCAGAAGTGCTTTAGTGCGCGGAACAACTTTTGTTGGATTTTTGCAGCTACTTTGAAAAAACACCATACAGTCCAGTTTAAATTCGGGCTCATACGCGTAAATCACGATTCAATCATCTGTCACGATGTCAGGACGTGTTTCGACCAGCACGCGATCGTATTTTTTTAGCATTTCTTCCGTCCAATCGACACAAGCCTTTTTTTTTTTTTTTGAGAAACTTGACAAAATTGTGTGGGATCTAATGCGACAAAT